ATGTTATGGTATGTCGTCTTCTAACTATAGAGTACAATAATAGTACATACCCGCTTCTCATACATAAGGATGCGAGATCGAAACCTACCAACGGCAAGTACCAATGTGACTTATCTATCTAAAATTATTTAGACACCACTAACAAACGGTGAAGGAAAACATTGTGAGGAAACATGAACTTATAATTTCTAATTATAAGCTTGTAATCGCCAATCCGCATTGAGCAAGCGCGACGATTAATGCTCAAACCTTCTCTGTGTGAGAAGGAGTCTTTGGTCAGCAGTGGGCACTTATAGGCTGTTGATGATGATGATGATGATGATGAATCTGTCATTGTTAATATCCCTTCGAGATTTTAACAATAAATCAATAACTGCTAAAATACTCTTCACACCATTTGCATTTTAAACTAATTAGTTAACAAATCGCTGAGTAATAACTCCATGTATGTAATTAGAACCTTTGTAATTACGATCAGGATATAGTAAATGCGGTCCTGGTCAATGTGGCTTGCACTCAGATGCTGTGGTTAATTATACAGTGTGTTTATTATTTAATTTCATATTACGCATAAACGATTTTAATACAGGTAAGATAAATTACTGACGTAAGTCGTTCGTTCGTCGGTTAGATTACCGGGTCGGGTAAATTATTACTGGGTTTTAAAAAAAATCTCAGTAGTAGCACGGAGACTGGAATTGTGCCCGGTATATGGCAATAGGCTCACCCCCTATTGCACGGGGCTCTTAACATAAATAGGGAAAAGTGGGTGTTACACTGTACAGTGGTATAATATGCACCTCTGCCTACCCCTTCGGGCATAAAAGGCGTGATGTTATGTAATGATGGTATAAAATAAATAGGTATAGATTCAATACAACTGTGCTGACCAATGGATACAGAAGATATGGCGTTGTTAAAAATAATATCTACTGTTTCTGTAAGTACTGAGTTAATCTTTAGTTTCTTTCTTGCATACTTAATAACTGAGTATACCATCTTTTTAAATATGGGATATGCCGATAAAGGAGCAAGCGGATCATCTGATGGTAAGCAATTGGCGTCACCCATGGACACCTGGAATACCAGAGGCGTTACAAGTGCATTACTGGCCTTTTGGGATTAGAAATTTAAGGATTGTTGGGGACTCAGGAATTGGGAAGGTGGGGGGGGGGGGAATAGAGCCTCCAGTAACCTCCGGTAACCTCACTCTCGCGACGAAACACAACGCAAGCATTGTTTCACGTCAGTCTTCTATGAGGCCGTGGTATCACTCCGGTCGAGCCGGCCCATTCGTGCCGAAGCATGGCTCTTCCACACTTAAAATCTATCTAGATACATCGTTTGCTTGAATTTTAGATTTCTACGAAGTCTAAATTTCCAGTTGATTCTATAAACCATGTTTCTCCTTGTGATGAATCTCACGTAACAAAGGGTTATTTTGAAGTATATTTTACAAAGGCATCGTAGCCTACAATGTAGAATTATTTAGTAAAGGCGTCATGTACAATACATTATATCTATCAGATTGTTGCTCTTATATCATTTATTTAAGGTACGATTTACGAAAGCAATAAATTATTACGCTAAAAATTACTAAGCTGAATATGAATCAGTCCAGTTTCATATAATGCAAAACAAATTAAGCCAGACACGTGATAAAGTGGAAAATCGAAAATCACAAACAATCTCTACTTTATTTTTTAAACATTCATGCAAAAGCAGATCTTATTATCTAATTAAGTGCATATGATATTCAACCATAGCGAGGAATTATACGGTTGACTTCAGATTAATTCTCGCTAGACAACTAGAGCAATGAGGCACTTCGTGCAACTATTCATTATGTGTATTATCATGTTGTAACTGTCGGACATATTGGCGCCATTTGAGTACCAAATGCTTGTAATTAAGTGATTTATCATTTGGGGACACCCAACCACAGGGCGGTCAGTTTAATTTAAAGGAAAACTGTTATTTGTTCATTTTCCTATTGTCTTAACAGGAATTAGAGTTTACAGAAAATCATTTAATAGCTTCCCAGGTAATGTCAATAAAAGGCTGCCTTGTTGGCCGAGTGGTCGCAAGTGCAACTGCCGAGCAAGGGGTCTCGGGTTCGATTCCCGGGATGGGCAAAACACTGCAAAATCTCAGTAGTAGCATGGAATCTGGAATTGTACCCAGTGTATATATAGGCTCACCCCCTATAACACGGGACTCATAACAAAATTAGTTAAAAGTGGGTGTTACATTTTACAGTGGCATTAAGTGCCGTAATATGCACCTCTGCCTACCCCTTCAGGGATAAAAGGCGTAATATATGAATGTAGATATAATATCAATAGATATCCATCCATCCATCCACCGTGTTGCCTAATGCCTATCTACCTTGACAGGTACCTTGACACCTTCTTGACAGAAGGCAGGTAAAAAAAGATTAAAGTAACAGAAAATTAAACAAGGTATAACTTTCTTTGACTACAATTTTAACAAAACAACACCTACTTTCAGGTTTTCTCAAAGGTCATGTGTAACCAAAAACAGAACTAAATAAAACTATTTCGAAAAACAACTGCCTCAACTTGGAACACTAAAAACTTCAACTCGTTTCACCTTAAACGAAAACGACCGACTTGTAAGGGAAATCAAAGTTCTTTGGCAAATATTCGTTAACATTTTAATTACTCACAATGATGTTACATTAGCTACATCTTCAATTATTTAATTACACCTTGGAACGACTACCTACGAACGAGAACATACGTGACAGCTTTTGTAAACAAGTCCATTCACCGCCAATGTAACTTCTGAATCAGATGCTCGCCGATTCAAGTTGCAGTGCGCAATTAAACTTTATTGACATTCTTTATTATTGTTAGTTGGAATATTAATGTTCCATTATCACAGTTTTTATTCTCTGATGCAGTTAGTGTATGCTTTTAGATGTAAAAAAATTGTTGGTGTTTGTATTGTCATGCAAAAAACATAGGATTATACTTAATCTGGCTCATGAACTGTGCTAAGACTTATAGTAAGATACTTTTGTAAAATAAATATACTGTTATTTCTTACTTACGCTAACTAACTATAATTTGTCCAATTATTGATTTTGTCAAACGTTGTGACCATGCTCTAAATAGAGTATATGATAAGCTCTGTCCTACACGTGATCTGTTCCTAAGTCGTCTAAAAATGGTACAAACCTTTCGAGAATTAAGCTATCAAATGCGAAAGAGTTTCCATAAATCCGATTGACCGTCAAAGGGATCAGCGAATAGACATACAACAAGCTTATTATATTAGCATATCGTGAAAGCAAAGATAAAATATGAATATTGTAGAAAAGATAGTTCCAAATATAATATTAATAGAACATTGATTTTATTCTCTCTTTAGGATTGTGGTGGACCTAATCTGTTTTTAACGAGTTTCTGAAAAGCGTAGGATTATAGAACCTTACGCCTATACTTATAGAAGAATAATGAGGTATCTGCTAATGTAACTAACCGTTCTACATTAAAATACTATGAAATTTTCAGAGCTATATATATTTTCGGATATTTGGAAATCAAATTGTCTCTTCACAAAGATAGGACGTTTTACATACTGCCTTTACACGCAAACGAAGTCTTGTATGTTTATATCCTTGTATCAGGATGTTTGGTTTCTCTCTAATTACTGAGAATACTCAGAGCTAAACAGTTAAACAGTGGTATTTCCCTTCATTGCTTCAAATTAGCACTCCATTGACAGTTCTAATGACGAATCATTGTATGGTCAGAAGAGTGCATTGTTCCCTAAGGGGAGATCTAAGAGGTGTGACAGTTGAAGCGTATTATGGAGTTAAATCCTGCAATAGGGAAACACACTAGACGTGCAATGATGGTGATTTTTTCTTTGACGACAGATGTATAAAACACTGTTTTGTACTGTTCCGCTTAATATTAGTTTTTAGTTTCTAGTTTTCCGGAAAGAATACTTAGGGTTAATATTGACTCCATTGACAAAACAATCACAAATACTTAATGGATAATAATGAGCATGTAAAGATACCATATTCGAACTTATCGTGAAAAGTCGATGTAATAGATAAAGCGCATATTGCCATATACTGGGGGTAAAATCCGACCGATCAGTCGACCGATAGAAAGGGCAATTTTTACTATTGTAGTCCAATCATCCATAAATCTTAAGATATCTCAGTGGCTTCGCTTTCATAGACGAATTCTTGTATTTTCTCTTTTGGTAAGAATATTGTAGCTTCCTTTATATGTTCTGTGATTGTAGCAATGGTTAATTTGAAGACATCACCTCCTTAAGTAGAGTTTAGTTTGATTGATTAGCTACTCTTATAGTAATATGCCATCCATTTACGTCAGTAAATCTTTATTTTTTTTAATTTCTCCAAATCCCAAACTTTCACCCACGAGTATTATGGAGCTTCATTTCCTAATGCTTGCATTTTGAAACCGCTATACCGATTGATGAATTTCGATACGAAACAAATAGGCCCCTGGCTATTTTCGATTCGACACAAAGCGAAGGCTTGCATAATACCGAAGTCAAAAGGACTGCTTGATTGGATGCGCTAATCTCTGATATTACCAGTGGCAAATGAAAAAACATTCTATGGTCTTTTATTTTGGTCTGAATATCGATACGGTGTTGCATTGGGATTTGCAAAAGGCAACTAATTGCCGATTAGCGATGTAATACCTGAAGTAGCGTGTGTGGTAGCGTTTGAATAAAGCTTTGAGCCCCAAAGAGCAATTAAATTATTGAACGCCTCTAGCGTGGAACATAGACTAAGTAGATAATTATAATAGGTATATAGGTGTGTGGGCAATCAGTTTAAAGGCTAAAATTAGAACGATTTCTGGACCCCCTTCAGGGTCAGAATTTGAGTATTGAAGTGGGTGTACTTATTAAATTTTATTTAATTGAAAGCAAAAACAACTTATCTAAATGATAATGTTGATAAAAAGTAAATACAATAGTCAGTCCTAAGGAATTTTTTAATCTCTTTTTGACGTTTTTTATGGCTGGGATTATAAAAACTATACACTTTTATTGAAAACAATAATTATACGTAAAAAAATCTTATGCAAGTTCAATACTCGAGTATTCGACCAATAATAAAAAACAACGGCTGAAGACCTTTTAAGTTTTATTTCTATGAGTCTTTTTTTTAAGGGAGGAAAATCATCGAGTTACTTCTCCCACCTGGGTGAGGTATGAGGGAGTGTCAGACTCTTACTGACTAAAAACCACCCCGTTCCTTCTCCTGCGCTTCGAGCCGGAGCCCTGGTAACCCGTTAGGTTCTCCGCGACATTTCTATGAGTCTAGTCTATAAATGTAATATTTGCTAATTTATATACTTGGTAAGTAAGAATGTATAAAATAATTCAAACATATAACTGGATTTTCTTGAATTACTGATTACGTTTCTCTGAAATACGTATCCGAAGCCCCGATAACCTTTTACGTCCGCCCGTAAACATGTACATCGAACGGATAGACAATAATAGAAATAAAATCAATAAGAAAATATAAAAGATACATGTTAAGTTAGCTCGTTCCTCTAAGTACATAATGTCTCGTTACGTGAGGAAAATATCTTCGTAAAAATATTAACTTTTGTCAATTACAATCTCAGGTTCTGTGTCCAAATTAGCTTATAATTTGTTACATTCCACTTTAGTAACTTTACAATTACTCAGTTGAACAAAAAATAGTCGATGACCTCTGCAAATTAAAGCAAACTGTACCTTAAAAAAATTGACTCCCACTTCATGTAGGTAATACCATTAAACGAATGAGTAACACCGTAATAAACTAAGACTGAATTATTAAAAAAATAATGTACGCCTTTACAGTCTAAAGCCTTATCGCTTATCATCATCACTCATCATCATCAACAACAAAGCCATCACTCTTTAAAGGGGTTTGTTACTGTAAGTAAAACTTTTTACAATCTTATAATCCCATCTTGATTCCCCCAAAGATTAGCAGACGACTCAAAGATTTCAGTTTGGTCGCTAAAAATGTACATGATCCTGCTTTTCAGTGTCCACAGTTTTGCTGTAGCAATTTTCGGTCGTATTGAGGTCCAAAAGACTCTCTAAAAACATTGGAAGCTAAACCTGTCGCAGCATCACACCTGTTGTTTTTCGACCACAGTCGAGGTAAACTTAAAGCCACCATCCTCTCTGGACGCGAAATAATAAATAGAAATCTCGTATTTATAAAAAAAATCATACTGGATTGAGAAACTGATTGAAAAAGATTAACCAAATTGTTACTTGCTCATTCATCTCCGTAGGAAACAAAGTTTAACACGAGCACCTAACTTCACTAAAACTGACCGATAGACTGAAACATTATATTTTGTTTGACGTCCAAATTCGCCTCATATTGGTTTGATTGAAATAAACGATTCGATGTTTTACTTTGAATATCAAATCAAACAATGTACTCACTCAAGTTATAATAACTAAAGCAACAACAACCTTCGCCGAAGCAAACCCATGTCACATCACATATCGACTCTGTTGATAATAATATGTCATATGTGATGTGATAAGTCCACTGTTGACCAAAGGCCTTCTAAGTCATAAGTGTCATCGAAATCCAAACCAAAATATCCAGCTCTAGCAAAATAGCAAAAAAAAAATTCTAGAACTAAATCTACAGGGTGATGTTATAAACAAGTGGGTGTTTATTTTATTAGTCACACAACAACATTATCTAATTACCTCAGTTTAATTCATTTAAATCTTGTAATACCATTGACAACTCCTAATATTAAAATGGAATTCACAATATTCTTCCTACTACGTCTAAATGGGTTATACCAATATACTTTAAAATACTACCTATATTTACGATGTTTATTCAAATGTATATTTCTCTCAGTTTATCCTCAAATTTTGTATGAATTCAAAGCTTTATACCTAGTCAAAATAATATCCAAACGATCTCATTGGCTCGCCACACACGTAGTTAGATTAGTTAAAGGAAAATTTGCCTTATAAATATTTATTCGAAATATATAATTATATTAAATACGTATAAACGCTTTATAAATAAATAAGTTTATCAACGAAAATATTTATAAGTTTTATATTAAATATTTTTTCTGCACTTCACAAACAAGACTTTAATTACAACGTCAATGTTTAAGGAAATTCAATATCTAATTCAAAATAAAGTATTCGTATTTTTGTTCAAAATATCAATGCTCTCTTAATTTCACTCTAAGAAAATAACAGAAAATAACAAGCGCAGAGGAAACACTTTTATCTCGGCCCCTGTTTTATTTACTTTTAAGGGCTCTTTCAAAGACTAGTAAGTATCAGTATTTTTACTATTGACGGGAAACGAATAAATGTTTTTTGCTTTCGTAAAAATCGTAACAAATTTCATAAACACAGCGTGCTATTTATTCTACATTAATGAAAATAAAACGACAAGAAATGTTATTCATATATCGAAAGCATAACAATTACAAACATCACTAAAATAAATGTACGAAAACTACATTCATATGGTAACGTAAAAACACCTAGAGTAAAATCCCTATTGTAAAAAAGACTCTTTTTCAAACCCTGGTTTTTCCCAGAACACACTTGTTTGTCAGTTGTTGCTTGTCGAGCACCACTGGCTGTGTTATCCCGTAAATGGAAACTGACATCTATTTCAAGGAAATTTGTCTAATGTATATCTGCATTCACTATTAGTCGCCAGACGAGGGAAGTCCTCTTCAAATAAAATTGAAAGTCATTTCATAAACATCACAATTGTATGTCGTACGTCAGGTTATTATCTTCTTTAATAAAAATAAAAAATACACGATACCCTATTAAAAATAATGATATCTATTGTAAATACTTGTGCGATAGCTCAGGTTGTAGTATTAAAGGTACCTTGTACGTGTACTTATTATACTAGTGCTTGTTATTTGTCATGTACCTATACAATAATCATACTCCTAGTACCTGCCTAGTTAGTTTACATAAAACAGATGAATTATTAAACCACTGGGCAATAAATATAAAATTCCTAGAAAATATTATGCACGTCTGAATGTAAAATTTTAGATAACTTTATTTTCTGTGGCTTGTCCTCCGCCAAAGTTCTGACGGTCCTCGATGCATTAATACTAAGATAAAAATAATAAAACTCTGAATTTTACATTGTAACTAAAAGCCTGAAAATGTTTAACTTAACTTCAAACTACCTGACAGCGAAAACTTTTTGCAGCTACAGGTTGACTTGAAGATTTTTTTTAAGAGTTGTCAAAACTGTTAAGATCGTCCACTTGTTCAAACATTACCACATCATACGTCAAAATCAATTCAATTTCAAATTTACCTCCTGTTTCGCGGCGAACTGGCAACGTCGCGAAAGGTACGCTGTCAGCGAACGCGCAAAGCATTCAACTGTTCGTACATGTAACGCGCGACTGTCGAGCGGCAGACATCTGAGGGGCGCTGTGCGAGGTTGCCACGCCTCTGCATACTAATCCACCAATAACATGTGCGCACGCTCCGAATGTGATTTGAATTCCAAACTTTTGTTCAGTATTAGCGTCTCTTTCATTTTTAGATTAATCGCGTAGGTTTGAGTGGGATGTAGCAATGAGCGTTTGGTGGTTCTGCTCGATATTTTGTGTTGACCACAGTTTGAAAGTGACATATCTTGTACGATTAGATACCGTATTTTGAGCCTAGTTTTTTGACGAATACGGGATATTGCATCTCGTTGCGTCTTAAAAGTTTAAGTAAGTTATTGAATAAAGCGTTACACAAGTTACTGTAAATACAGCTACGGTTTGCGGTGGAGGATCGATTATTCAAAGAACAGAGGCCTTCGAGACGCAGTATTTAGGTTCGTTTAGAGGAAAAATATTTATTTGTTATTCGATAATTTCTCAACGTACGAGTACAGATCACTTTATTCTTTGCCAAGCCAATTTATTTAAATTTTTTCATAGTTATAAGTATTTTGTTTAGCAAAAATAATTATAATAAGTACGATTGAATTTTTTACAATGTTTGTATGACAGTAACAAGAAAGGCAACAAAAAGAAACAAAAAAATATAAAATATTTTTGCTCATAGATTGTGACCAAAATAACCACAATGATAATATTTTTATCATTAGAAACTATTTTTAATCCTATCTTACAGAACACAAGAAAGTACCGTTTCTTGTGTTCAGGTATAGCAAAGTGAATAAAGAACTACAAACTTTTTCTAAAAACAGCTCTATCTCATATTCAGAACTATTTACTCAACTTAGTTCAACTATAGCAGCTAGCTTCCCTATCACATCGTGTCCAAGTCCCGACGATTCCCCTCATATTCCGATAGAGGGCGACACAGGTCGCATCTCGAAATCACAGCCCAAAGCGCTCTCTAAAATAAACACACGCTGTATCTAATAGGACTTCTCTTACGCCTATGGGTATTTTTATGACGCAAATTGCAATGTAAGTAGTGTTATTTTAAAATATATTTTCCTTGTTATTATTAAATTGGTATTTTAAAAATAAATTAAAATTTCTCATATTTGACTTTTTTAAAAGAAAATATTGTTATATAGATTAATAAGAATAGGAAATAAATACTATTCGGGTGAAATATCACACAAATACCTATACTCTATTTTTTTTTTGTTTATACATACCTATGCACAGTATGTATGTATGCGCAGGTATGTACGAATCAATATTTACGTTTACAACATTAAAAGGGGTCGAATCGACCCTTCACGGGATCCTTGACAACGGCCTTGCGTACTGAAGCATCAAACGCATTCCATTTTCAACTAGCATTGTAAAACAGTTACTTATCTGGAATAACATTAAATGGGTTCCTCATAAACACTGTGGAATTATTTCTATGTATATTTGGCTAATCTTATCAGAATGGTATAAAATTTTACGAGTTTTTGTAGTAAGGGGTGGGCTCGGAGAGGGTCGCGTGCTCGGGATCGCTCGGGCTTACGAGTTAGCGACCATGCGTACTACGCGGGTATGAATTAAATCGTATAGCTAGATATAACATAATATGGTTTTTAC